GGACAGGGTAGGCCTATTACTCAATTGGGGGGGGAGGGTTGGGGGGGCACACTACTGAAATCAGGTGGGCTAAGAAGCTACTAGGGCTATAGCCCCAGCCAAGGCACAACCCATGGGAACTCTGACTGGAAGATCACCTGGCTCCACCGATTGGTCTAACTATGCTACTTAAGCTAGGAGGAGGAAAAGGAAGTTTGTCTGAGCAACAAGGTGGTTTCCTGTTGTGCCTGCCTCCTGCAACCAACCCTGCTCCTGCTCTCCTTGTGGCTCCTGCCTTACCCCCGCCTTCATTCCTGTTCCCATAGTGCTCCTGCTCCGTGCTTGATCCTTGCCTCTCCCCCTGTCCTTATGCATCGCTGTCAATCCTCAGTGACCAGTCCTGGCTCCGATCCCGGCCTCTGACTTCTGACCCTGACTCCGGCTTGACTCTTGGCGCTGGCATTTGGCATCTGACCTCCGCTCTAACTCCTGGTTCTGACTCTTCCTTGACCCCTGGCTCTGCTAACTGGCAGTTGACTCGGTGCTCACCCTGGGCTTAGCTCCCCAAACTAGATGCCTGCTCACCCACTAGACCTGACTCCTGCTCTGACTACTAGGCCAGACTGCCTACATACTGGTCCATAACTGGTCCTAACTAAAACTAACACTAAGAAGGATATTAGCTATACAACTATATGACTCTCAGCCAGTGAGAAGGGATTGTGAGGTGAAAACCACACAGAGCTCTGACTCCAGCCTCAGGCAGTGAGAAGGAAATGAGGAGGGGTGGGGACAGTACCACCTCATATAGCCAGGGGAGGCGCTGTGGCCACAAGATGCAAGCGCTGCCCCTTCAGAAACTGCTAGGCAAAGTCCTCTGGCTCTGATGCACTGGTCACACGCACACCTACGTGAAATACATTGCTGCATCTACTTGAAGAAGAACTACATGTATTATTCAGGGTATAGGGGTACCATGGATTTATATAGTGGCATAGTCTATAGAAGAACATATAGTCTACATACACTAGAACAGGTTTGCTTGTTTAGTTATAGCTAACTAACGCAGACACAGTTTATTCTATCAAAAAAGAGTGCTTTTGCCAATATAGCTTATACCAGTCCCCCAGGTAAAATAAGTGATATAGGGAAAAGTACCTTTATGCTGGTATAAATGTGTCTACACTAGGGTTTTTGCCAGTATAAAAATGTTGCAAAAAAAAAAAAAAAACACTAACCTGCTCCACCCCCTACCCAACATTACTATAACCAGCAAAAAAATTTGGTGTAGAGCTGGCCTTATTCAAAGGATTTCATAGAGAAGAATACTGAAGCACCAGACCCTTTCGCTACATAACTTTTTGAAATAAAAACGTCCCTTATGCAATTATTATTCATTAAAATGTGGTTCTAACATTCCTCATTTCTAGCCCTCGTTTTCCTAACGAGAAACTAATGGAGAGCCAAATGTAAATTATGCTGGAGAATAGAATTCGAAGAAAAAAAAAGTGATATTAATGGAAGATGATCTAGAAAACTTTGTGGACAAGCTTGGAATCTAATGCATCAGTTACCTCAGAAAAAGAAACTGTTAAAAGCTATGGTACAGCTTAGACATGCCCTTGATTTTTAGGGTAGCAAACAGAATTTATTAAGAATTGTTTATCAGATGTTTCTTCATATACAAAGCAGAGCCACCGCAGCAGAAAACGCTGTCAGAGGGTATGCCTACACCGCAATAAAAGACCCACAGCTGGCCCAGGTCAGCTGGCTCAGGTTATAGGGCTAAAAACATGTAGTGTATTCGGGCTGGAGCCTGGGCTCTAACGCCCTGTTGGAGAAGGGTCCCAGACCAAGAGCTCCAGCCCGAGCCCAAACATCTACACCGCAGTCTTATAGCCCCACAGCCTGAGCCCCATGACCCCAAGTAAGCTAACCCGGGCCAGCCACAGCTGTGCCACGGGTCTTTTATGACAGTGTAGACGTACCCAGAGTTGCATATCGACAACACACGTTCAAAATGGGAAAGGATTCTTTTTGAGTACGACAGCAATCCTTTTTTGTTATGTTGGTTCCAAAACAGTTCTTTCTTTATTCCTTAAAGGATCAGAAATATACTTTGTTTTTAAAATAGAAATTTCTTTACTAATGTATTAAAAACAGAGCTGCATGGTTTATAGTTATTCTGTTCTCATCTCATACATGAATAAATGATATCTGTACTTTATGCTGTTTAGGTTAAAGCAGAAATTATGTAAAAGCAGCTATTTTAGGCTTAAACAGGGTTGGATTAAAAAAAACAAAATACCAGATCTGTTCAAATGTGGTACTTTCTTTTAACCCAGCACAGCTGGTACTGCAGAGATAAATAGTTCATGGGTTTGTAAGAGTTAAATCTCATTTCATTCATAGGCAATCCTTAATTCATGGAACAGCAATCTGCACATAAAATACCATTAGCAATTAGCATCTTAGTGTTTGTACAATACTAAAGTGGATAATAATCTTAAAAAGTTAGTAACTGTGATACCTTCTTTTGTCTGTTTTCAGCAGCAGCCAACTGAGCGGACATTCTCTCTTGCATTTTTCTGCAGTGAGACATGACAGCTTCTAAAATGGAGAGGGGGTTGGTACAGATGGACTTCTTTTCTTTACTACCAGCACCTGCCTCATAGTCTCTCTGCAGAGCCAGAAATGGGTCACTAAGATTAAACCTCCCATACCGTTCCTGGATAAAAACCTCCTTCCGGCGTGCCTAAAATATAAACAGATGAACAAAAACAGTAATTAATGGATTTTTCAGAGTACATCCACACACACAACAGCTGTAAACCTAAAGGAGAAGGACAATAAATATTTACAGTTGTAAAAAATATTCTGTATGAGCACATTTATTCATAATTTATATTTAAATAGAAGTAGTCAGATATATTACACACAGAGATTTTATTTTATCTAAGTAGTGTATCATATAAGCAAGCAAAGTCTTCTTCTCCATTTGACTACAGAAATTTAAATTCTCTGGAACGGTTTCAGGAAAACCATAGAAGGAAGAACCTGTAAAGTTGCTGATATTCATAGAAGAAAAGAAGGGAAAAGGAAAAAAACCTTTATTTTGGTATTGTAGAATGATTTTTTAAATTTCAGTTTACAAAAAAGAATGACACTCAGGGTATGTCTACATAGCCAAGAAAAACCTGCAGCTGGCCCACACCAGTCCACTCCAGCCTGTGGGGCTGTTTCACTGCTGTGTAGACTTCCGGGTTCAGGTTGGAGGGTCCCAGAGCCCAGAAGTCTACACAGCAATGAAACAGCCCCACAGCCTGAGCCCCACAAGCCTGAGTCAGCTGGCACAGGCCAGCCGTGGCTTTTTCTTCACTGTGTAGACATACCCTAAAAAGCCATAAAAACTGCTGTTTCAGGTAACTGCTGTAAGCACCAAAATGTTCAGTTTTTAAAACAATGTGCTTGTCAGACTGTCACTTAAGAGGACATATACTATAATCAGTTAAACCAAAAAAAAAAATCAGAAAAATTTAAGATTATCCATCCACAACATTTACATTTCTCAAATTCTCACTCTTCACAAAATCTAGTATTAGGACATAACATACAAGTATCACATGATCAGAAAAATCACTCACTTTTATTATTTAAATGTGTGATCATATTCATAGAATGCAGTAGGGTATTTTATTGATGGAACAGAAAATTGCAAAAAGCTATATAAAAAAAAATTCACACTCCCATTGCCTCAAGCTGGTTAGAACAAAAAGTCATTTTTTACTCATGAGCCCAAGCAGTTAAGCGCACAACAGGCAAATCAACAATTCAGGCCAATATCAGGAGAGGTATTTTTAGTGTATTCATATATTATGCAAATAGGACCACAGTTACTACTGACTTGCAATTCTCTGCTCTGAAAATACCATCTGCAAAATTCTCAGTCTTGAATCCTAGTGGGAGACAAGAAGTGGTGGTGTTGGTTGTTTGGTGTGCATGTATGGTGTTGTGAAGTTTTGTTTGTTTGTTTGTTTGGAGTTTTTTATAAATAGGAGCAGCAATAGTGGTGAGAGGAGTTAATCAACCTACCCAAATTGGGATTATCTGCCTCCCACACATCCAACTGCTGTCTCTTGGACATTCCAATCATGTTCAGATTTTGCAGAAGAAAGCAAAATAAATAAACTAATACAATCACTCACAAACGTTGACTGAAAAACCATGCCTCTAAAACACAAATAAAACTAGAATTTAGAAGAAAGACAAAAAGAAAGACAGAAAGAACCCCCTCCAAACTCTGAGGGGAAGAAGATGAATAAGTGAAAATCCACCAATATGATATTTTTAAAGAAGCAGAATTAAAAGTCAGAAACTATCCCTTGTCTAAAGAGGCAAGAACTATGGGAAAAAGGCCACCAAAAGGTAAAAGTTCTGTTTTCAAAAAAATGCAAGAGGGAAGACACCTCCCATCACACATTAGGTCTAACCACTCAATGGCCTGTTGGACAGATTCTAAAACCCTCCATAAAATTACTCAAAAATTTAGCCTGCTCAAAGAAAAAAACTTCAGAGGATAGTAAAATCTGATCTCATACCCTGGAAGCATAATCACAGAATTGAGGGATAAGGCAGGAAAACTCCCTAGAAACTGAACACAAGCAATAGTGTTTAGTCTAGACCAGTGGTTCCCAAACTGGGGTTCGTGAACCCCTGGGGGTTCATGAAATGTTACAGGGGGTTCTCGGGAAAAAATTCCCTAATGGCGGACAGAGCTGCCTTAGGGACCCCGGGCAGCACGGGACCAGGAGCCCGGAGCCCCTGGACTTCCAAGAGCTAAGCAGATCAAAGCAAGCACATCTATCACACTGAGGAGATTTAAACTTCAAGACTCCTTATAAGAAATGGAAAGGGAAGTGGATATTTTTTGCTGTTTTTAAAATTAAATAGGCAGCTAGTATTGTTTTTAAAATTATTATGAAGAACAAGTTTAAGCTTTGTTGTAACATGTGTTGTTTGCTTGAACTGCTCATAGGGTGACCAGATGAGATGAAGAAAATACTGGGACACCGGGGTGGGGGGCAAAAAAAAAAAAAGCCGGCGCAAAATATCGGGACAAAAATTGCATCCCGACCGATCTCTGGGACAAACAGCTCAAAATCGGGACGGTCCCAATTTTATCGGGACATCTGGTCACCCTAACTGCTCAAGACCTGAATGCTTGTATAAGAGGAACTCTTTGAGTTGGCTTCTTAGATACCTTCATGCTGTTTCACATCTGATACTCCTTGATGAAACATAGGAGCCTTGTCTTATAACAAGCTTATTCAAAGTGATACAAGCTATGAAAGTGAGATCTTGGAAGAGTGTAATAAAAATACTGTAATGATAAATAATTAATAATAAATAGTGTGTAATAAGCATGTCATAAAAACAAATTTTATATTTGCAAGATCACTGCTTTTATAATTTATTCTCAGGTAAAGGAGAAAATCCCTGGAAATATTCTTTTTTAGGAGGGGGTTCGCGAGACTTGACATTTTGGTGAAAGGGATTCATAGGTTGTTAAAATTTGGGAACCACTGGTCTAGACCCTGAGATATGCCTATGTCTGCAAGTGAATAATCCTGAGGCAAGCTGTAGTGGCAACCTTGTCTTGGACTGAATGAAACTCGACTTAGCTAGCGTGAAATTGGAGGGGCTAAGTCATAGCTGAGGATGACCAGACAGCAAGTGTGAAAAATTGGGACAGTGGGGTAATAGGAGCCTATATAAGAAAAAGCCCCAAATATCGGGACTGTCCCTATAAAATCAGGACATCTGGTCACTCTAGGCCTGAATACAATGCCGTAACAGCAGCCATTCACACATGGCTCTCAAACAAAACCAGAAATTTGGGTGGACTGCCTAAAAGCCAATATCCACCTGTAATGACCTTTATCAGCAACTTTTCCCATTGAATTTGTGAAGTGAGGTTTCACAGGATTGGACATGTGGATGTGTGAAAGATGGCATGATAACAGGCAAAGGTGGGAGCCCAGCCCCATCTAGAGAAAAGATGTTGAAAGATTTTGTAGCCCACCTTATCCTGAAAAAGCAGGTATGTACAGAAATAGGCACAAAGGGTATGTCTACGAACGAGCGGTGGTAGCTTTATTGCTGGAAGCAATAAAGTGCTGTCTATACTGGCGCTTTTCATCACTAAAACTTTTGTCGCTCGGGGTGTGTTTTTTCATACCCCTGAATGACTAAAGTTTTAGCACTGAAAGTGGCAGTGTAGACACAGCCTAAGTTTAAAAGCACAATACCACTATAAGCCACTCGCTGCTAGCAGGAATGTGAACTTACATGAAAAAAAACCTGATATTTGTCTGTATAATGTGGCTCAGGAAAAGCGGTCACTATTTTACTCAAGATCCAAAGAAGATCTCAGACACGGGGAATTTATGGCTGGAGGTTGAAAAGCATCAAGTCTTCTAAGTATCTGAAGAAAAGTTGTAAATATACTAGTCTGCTTGAGTATAGTCCCTGAACATGCAAAATATTTGTCAAGTGGACCTAGGAGAAGTTAGGGTAGACTTTGAGTTAACAAAGGAAGCAGTACATATGTGAGGACAAAGGGAGCTCAGTTTGTACCATATTACAAACCTTTTCTGTTTGATACTGTGTTCCCTCCAGTACAGACCTCTGATAATTCAGGAAAATCAGACCACCTGCTCAGACACACCAGGCCTGCAGAGCACTATTCTTCAGAAGCCACATTTGTCAGGATGAGGATTCCTTGGTTGGAATGGAGAAAGATGCTCTGGTTTTCAGTGATTATCCAAGAGCAGTTTTGTAGACTGATGAAAAAATAAGAACTCTTGGCCAATTAATAAGATCCCATTACAATATGGGTCCTATTTGAATGCTTGTATTTTTAATTTCTTGAGGTTTGCCCTTGCTACTATAAGTACTAGTAGAAAGACATATCTGAGCCTCATCACAGAGGACAGGGAAGTTATGCTTTGCAAACATGATCTCCTACAGGATGCCAGAAGAAGACTGGAAACAGAGCTTTGGTCTGCATGATAACATGTTTTCCCTCTGCTTAGGCACATAGCAAGTAAGAATGTCTAGAAGCAGTTGGCCTGATTACTTGTTTGAAGTAGGATCACCCTTCAGGACACCAAGGGTCTGTAAGTTGTTCAGTACTGTTGGTTTCTAGTATGAAGAGGTGTAGGACCTGTATGAAAAAAACCAAATTCTCTGAGTAAGAATACCTCAACCTCATAAAGGAGTGGTTTTGGACCACTGCAGAGACATACTCAGCATCAGATCTGCTGTTACTAAGTAGAAGCCATCACTCCTTAGGCCAACTGCTTCACTCATTAAACCATCAGTTTCAACTGTTCCACTGATGTATCTGGGGTCCAATAAAAAGATCATTGCCACAGAGGCTGCCGAGGACATCAGCATCAAGGTTAAGTGCTTCATATACAAATACAAATGGCTCTTCAGGCAAGAGATGGCCTAAATGCAACAGCATTTTGTCAGTGTTGAGATCGCTAAGGATTACCAAATACTTAAAACATTAAAACTGATCTACTGCTCAGTTTCCCCATTGGTGCTCTGCACTAGCAGTCCGGATGCAATGGCTGAACCAGGATGCACCTGCGAGCAGTCAGAGCTTAATACAGGGTCTCCTATCTGCGCTTTATGCACATACCCAGGATATTTCAGTGACCAGAGCTCAACATAGGAACTCTATTGGTG